AAAAACTTCAATGATGGATTTCTACTTGTTAAAATAAATACACTGTATAACAATGACAAGAACAAAATCACATACATCGAAGGTCATGAGGTCAATGTCTTTAAATCTGCAACAACGTTAAGTTATAGTTATTTTTACATTCAATTTACTTTATTTCAAATTGTCCTTTCCGTGTCTTCAAAGCTGCAAACCTGTCAATCACTTGATCGAAATCAATTTCATTCACTGTATCACTTCCAATTAATAGCAGAGCCGCATCAGAAAGCCTAGTCTTTCCCATGGTGGATCATAAATATTTCTTGATAAGCTTAGTTTGATAAGCTCCGGGCGCAAGAAGCCACATACACACATATTGTAAGAAAAAAAATTAAAAGCTTAGCGAGAGTAGTGGAGGCGATTCTAGGAGGTCCCATTCAGCTATGAATTTCAAAACATCTAATACTGACCAGTCCTTGAATTTGTGAAATTCAATATCAGCTACCTTTAGATCTCTTCTAAGCTTTGGTATTTCTTTTAAAAATTCATCTTCTAATGACTCATCATAGAAAGAGGTTAATTTTTGGAACGGAAACCAATAACTCTTCTTCACTTGCTGATACTAGACTCTTGGGTCAAACAGTACCAAACATATCTGCTACTTCCTTGGTCGCTAATGATCTGATCTGGCCTTCAGAATGAAAGCGATCAATACAAGCCAGGATCTCCCTACTGTTTTCTTCTCGCAGAAAGAGTCCAGCATCAATTAATTGTTCTCCTGCCATTGGCTTCTTCAACCTTATTCTTCTCTCTACCGAAATTCCATATTGGTGTGATTTTAAAAAATGCCTTTTCAATAGCATGTTACACCAAGTGACGGCGCTTCACGTGGAGAAACAATCTTTAGGCCTCTAGGTTCCTCACCACTTTGTCAAGAGTAAAGCCTTTAGTCTGCAGATACTGCTGTGTAAGATTAACTTCCTCGAGTAGATCAGCCTAAAGGTAAAGGTAGCATATAAACGTTAAATCACAGACAGCATGTCAAAGACCGTGTGCTGTACCTTTTGTATCTGAATATTCAAGAGGATTACACAGAGTTTCAATCACTGCCGCACATTCATCAAAGTAATCTTTCACTGTTTTAACAGCAGCATGATGATCTCTCCAACTCGTTATTGACAGTCTTTTCACCGACATCCCAGTGGTGTGTTCAATTAGAACATTCTATCGATGAGTGGATGCAGCAAACAAGGAAAAAATTCTTTCAAGAGTACCGAAAAATGTAATACATGAAGCATTTTCTGCAAAAGAGTGCTGACCACACAAGTTAAATGAATTGCCCACAAATATATTAAAAATTGCATTATTTTAATATTTCTTTTCATAATTGCCTCAACACCTTCATGGATTCCAGACATTGTGGCATCGTTATCGTAACCTTGAGCTCTGAACATCATTATTTCTAGTTTATAAAGTTTTAGATTTTTAAGAATTTCATAGCTGAGGTCATCATGTTTTTACCCTCTTAACGGGAAACATGCAAGAACACCTGTCTCACTTCAACGTTCCCATCTCGGTTGTGTGTGCTCAGATTGCTCTGTAAATATGCAATTTTTCAATTGGGTGTCACCCCTAAAATGGTGTCACCCGGTGCGGTCCGCACCCCCCGCACCCCCCTCGCTACGCCACTGCATGTATGTGGCATAGTGTACAGTGTGTTATGGTGATTTATTATAAATGGTTAACGCAGGTTGGTTCCGAAAAATAGATGACTGGCGCTTGAGATAAAATATGAGGCCACCTTGCAGGCGTGTTTGCCTCAATATATATTAAGTGAAACGTTTGTAGATTGCAAACTACGTGAACAATAATTTCTAGATTTAATCTGATTTCTGCGACAGTCCGGTTTTTTTTCAGCTATATTTCGGGGGTGGGGGGTGTGGGGCAGTCCCCCCCGGGGAAAGGTAAGTGCCCCCCCCCCCCGGAGAAAAAATATGACCAACAATACATAAACTGGAACTGCTGGCACTGCACCCCCGAAAAATCTGAAGTGCTGCCCCCGTGGAAAATTTCTTAAAGAAACACTGGCGACAGTGATCTCATTTTTTTGTTCTAGTGATTGTACTACAATGCTCCACCGTGCCATGTGTGATTGTACTACAATGCTCCACCGTGCCATGTGTGATTGTACTACAATGCTCCACCGTGCCATGTGTGATTGTACTACAATGCTCCACCGAGCCATGTGTGATTGTACTACAATGCTCCACCGTGCCATGTGTGATTGTACTACAATGCTCCACCGTGCCATGTGTGATTGTACTACAATGTTCCAATGTTCCACCGTTCCATGTGTGATTGTACTACAATGCTCCACCGTGCCATGTGTGATTGTACTACAATGTTCCAATGTTCCACCGTGCCATGTGTGATTGTACTACAATGCTCCACCGTTCCATGTGTGATTGTACTACAATGCTCCACCGAGCCATGTGTGATTGTACTACAATGCTCCACCGAGCCATGTGTGATTGTACTACAATGCTCCACCTTGCCATGTGTGATTGTACTACAAGGCTCCACCGTGCCATGTGTGATTGTACTACAATGTTCCAATGTTCCACCGTTCCATGTGTGATTGTACTACAATGCTCCACCGTTCCATGTGTGATTGTACTACAATGCTCCACCGAGCCATGTGTGATTGTACTACAATGCAGGTGGCACGGTACACACTAACATGATGAATGTTCCAATGTTCCACCGTTCCATGTGTGATTGTACTACAATGCTCCACCGTTCCATGTGTGATTGTACTACAATGTTCCACCGTTCCATGT